CATGAGTGAAGGGGGGCGATTAAGATGTTATTGTGTGACGCTGTGACCTAGAGGTCACATGTTTAAGCCTTGATAGCAGCCTCTTGTCAAACTTAATAGGAAAAGCCTTACCTTTTACGCACGCTTGTGGGTGTGATACCTTTCTTGGACTCTCACCTTGTGATGATGCTTTCGTGCACCAGATTGTCCTTTTTTTCAACCTTAACATTAGTCATTTTTATAACAAACACTATACGTTTGATTTACGTACAAAATTGTGTAATAATTAAAGTAAGAAAGATTAGAGTGACTGAATTTTATGAAAAAAAAAATTAAATTAATTTTTCCCAATTTGTTTTTATTTTTATCAATAAAATATACGAAGTATTTGAAATATTTTTCTTGATAAATCAGCAGAATCAGAATTCACTTATTCCCATCATAATTTGAGTAGATCTCATAGTTATCAAATATCTTTATTATAGATAAATAATACGGAGTATTGAAAAAAAGAGGCACCCACATCCGGGCCGGATAAGTAATGTTGAGGGGATCTTTGCCTGTGCCTGCTGGAGGCAGAGGTCCGTGACCCACACGTATGGATCCCTCTGCTACAACTGGATCGGATATGATCCATCAATCAAGACGACTCTGATCTGAAGCTTCCGCCCGCCCAATTATCACCTCCATCATTGCATTCCGTAATATCTACTGTACTGTCTCCACCTAAATATATCAATCCATGAAAATATCGGAGAAAAATGTGGACATTGAGTGTTACTCTTTCGGTGTGACATTAATGGGAGTGAAAAACCATACTTTGTTAATTTGGATCAGACTAAATAGAATCAGACTAGACTACACTTAAACAGACTAGACAAATAGATCAGATCAGACTAGACTTGAACAACTACTCCGTATAAAATACATAGAGAGTCAAAGACCAGACATTACCAGATCAGTTCATATCAAAACTTTTTTAATCATATTTAGGGAATTCTCCCATCATTATACCGAAAATTACCGAGAAGTACCATAAATCCAAGAAATTTTATAATCTTTCGATTTACCTTTCAGGTGAGGCTGAGGCTCATTTTGGTAAATATTCTAAAATACCTAATTTGTAAGCTCATCAATCCCAAAAAACTCTACAATTTCGCACAATATAATGCTTTTTCTACGAAAATATTACTAAAATAAAACTTATTAACACAAATATGACTAATAGCACAGTTACTATAACGTAATATTAAACATAAAATATTAAACACATTTTACTACGAGTGTTTCCTAAGTGACCTTTGGGTTAGGGACTTAGGGGTAGTAATAACAAAATCGGGGGTTACTGTTTTTTGAAAGAAAAATCCTTAATTATAATTGATGAAAATGATCATTACAAAATAATTCAGATTGTCTAAGGCTATAACGTGATGAAAATTTGGTAACCCTGTAGCAGAAACGTTATACTCCGTACTATTTTTTTTGAGAAAGAAACGTTATACTAAATGAATAATCAAGATGGCAAAAAGTACCAAAACTGCGCGATAGAAAGCAAATACTACTTCCGTCCCGCTATTATTGTTCCGTTTTAACTTATCGGTCCGTCCCACTAAGATTGTCACATACCAAATGAATAATCAAGATGACAAAGTATGTGTGGCTCTAAAGCATTTTTACTTTATTTACTTTATCAATTCAATATCAACCACATAAACCATTTTTTATTGATTTGCGTGTCTTTCCCTCTTGTCCCATTGTTAGCGGGACGGAGGGAGGGAGTTTAAAATTAAACATAAAATATTATGATTATGTTACTACTCTAATAACTAAACACATTTTTGTAAACAAATTTTAGTATTATTTCCAATTAGAAATTAACTCAAATAGAACTAAAAGTGGGCTGAAATTCAAAAATAAGACCTTTCATGTTTTTATTCTCATATAGGACCAATCTACTCCTATTTTGAAACATACTAAAATTAGCAGCCCATTTTTATCCCTACACTTATTACCCCTTTCTAGGAGCTTCTCTCTCCAAACAATTGATCGATGCTTTCTCCAGACGCGACCAAAGGCTCAACATAGCGGCATCTCACCTTCTCCCTTGCGCGGATTTGCCGATTTCATCGCAGACCACCTTCGCCGTAGGCCACCTTCACCGCTTTGCCTTCATCGCTCTCATCTCTGTTTTAATTGGAATGTGAAAATCCTTGCCTTCATTGAGTAAATCATCTAATATAAATACATGGAGTATCCTCCTATACTACACGGATGACTATACATGGAAATAGGCTAACATAATGCCAATGATATACTATCCATAATTACCTAAAATGAATCTAGCCACTAAATGAACCAAATACAAAATACAAGAAATATGGTAATAATATACATAACCGTTTGGTTAATACGCCCCCGCAGTCCCACCGTGAAGTGGCCGAACGGTGAGACTGTTTCGGAATTCCTCAAACAAAAGGCTCGGAAGCCCCTTGGTGAAGATGTCCGCGAATTGGTACCGTGTGGGAACATGAATTATTCGGACCTCCCCGCGGGCAACCTTTTCCCGAACAAAATGAATATCAATTTCAATGTGTTTGGTCCGTTGATGTTGAACGGGGTTGCCGGCCATGTATATGGCACTTATGTTATCACAGTATATAATAGATGCTTTCGAGAGAGGGCAATGAAGTTCCATGAGGAGATTGCGGAGCCAACAAGTTTCGGCGACCACGTTGGCGACGCCACAGTATTCGGCCTCGGCACTAGAGCGGGAAATGGTGGTTTGGCGCTTGGAGGACCAAGATAGAATATTGTCTCCCAAGAAGACGCAATAGCCAGACGTGGACCGTCGAGTGTCGGGGCAGCCACCCCAATCGGCGTCAGTGTATGCAGTAAAAGAGTGGGCCGGTGAACGATGAAGGTGTATACCGAAGTGAGGTGTGCCGCGAACGTACCGAATAATCCGTTTGAGTGCATGAAGGTGAGCCTCTCGTGGATCATGCATGAAGAGACAAATATGTTGGACAACATAGGAGATATCGGGCCGAGTAAAGGTGAGGTATTGTAGTGCGCCAGCAAGACTACGGTAAAGAGACGGGTCATGTACTGGGGGACCCGCTGCGACACTAAGTTTAGCACTGCAATCGACTGGGGTAGCAACGGAGTTGCACTGATCCATACCCGCACGGCTAATGATTTCCTGGGCATACTGATTTTGGGATAAGAAGAGCCCGCTGGGCAGTGTGGTTACCGAAATGCCGAGGAAGAAGGAGAGGGGCCCAAGGTCAGTCATGGAGAACTCTCGGTGGAGGTGGTCCAGAATGGTGCACCGGAGGGTGTCGGAGGAGGCCGTGAGGATGATGTCGTCAACGTATAGCAAGAGAAAAGCGGTGTCGTGTTTATGTCGGAGGATGAACAAAGAATGATCACACTTGCTATGGACGAAGCCGAGGGTGGCTACATATGTGGTGAATCTTTGGTACCAAGCCCGGGGGGCTTGCTTTAGTCCGTAAAGGGATTTGAGCAATCGACAAACATGTTGTGGGCGGGAAGAGTCACGGTAGCCGGGTGGTTGGTGCATGAAGATGGTTTCCTCAAGTTGTCCGTGAAGGAAGGCATTCTTGACGTCTAATTGATGGAGAGGCCAAGAATGAGAGAGTGCAATGCTTAGGACGGTGCGGATGGTGGCCGGTTTAACAACCGGGATGAAAGTTTCATCACAATCCACCCCTATTTGTTGAGAGTTGCCATTCACCACTAACCTTGCTTTGTGCCTTTCAAGAGAGCCATCAGACCTGTATTTATGCTTAAACAACCACATACAACGAATAATGTTAGTATCGGGCGGCCGAGGAACCAACTCCCACGTCCTATTTTTAATAAGCGCACTAAACTCGTCATCCATGGCGGCTTTCCAACACGGGTCATGGAGGGCAGTGATGGGACTTTTGGGTATGGGAGAAGGGGTGAGGTTGGCCGAGAGGTTGAGGATCTGTTTGGGTTTGAAGATGCCGGATTTGGCTTGGGTAACCATGGGGTGAGGAGCTGGGGCAGTGTGGCTGGGATCTAAAGGGGAATCGGGTGGATGCGGGGAAGTGGGTAACTGTTCGGTGTTGATGGGGGGTGTAGGTGAGTGGTCAGGGGTGTGTTGACTGGTGGATGAGGTGGACCGCATGGGAATGCGGGGTTGACTGGGGGTGTCAGTGGAGGAAAATGAAGAGGGGTCCGTTTGTGAAGGAGTTTGGGAGGTGTCGGATGGGGTTTGGGCATTAATCAAAGAGGGCTGCACGTGGGGGTTGGTTTGGGGGGAATTTGGCGTATGCATGGGCCATGCATGGGTATCAAGGTTCATACGTAAGAGAGGGTGGGTAAGGTCATATGTGGGTGGGTTGAAATTTGGATTTTTGTGAGAAGTGTGAAAAGGAAATACGACCTCATTAAAGGTGACGTGTCGTGAAATTATGATTTTGGGAGAATTTAATGTCATGCAAATGTAACCTTTGTGATTGTCGGGATACCCTAAAAATACACAAGGGGTGGACCGGGGTTGAAGTTTGTGGGTAAGGGGGAGTGTATGAGGAAAGCATAAGCATCCGAAGACACGAAGGTGAGTATATGTGGGTATTTTATGGTATAGGAGAAGTGTGGGAGAGCGGTATTGTATAGTGTGAGAGGGTAGGATGTTGTGTAAGTAGGTGGCCATTTTAAGGGCATGCGGCCACAAAGTGAGGGGTAGTGAGGCGTGGATGAGTAGGGTACGGGCCATATTATTGAGGGTGTGGATGGTGCGTTCGGCTTTGCCATTTTGGGGGGAGGTGTAAGGGCATGAGAAACGAAAATGAATGCCATGAGTGGCACCGAAGTGACTAAAATTGTGGTTACGAAATTCGGTGCCGTTATCACATTGTAAGATTTTTATACGTTGTTCAAATTGTGTGTGAACAAAGTTATAAAATGTGACAAAAGTGGAGAATGTTTGTGATTTATGTTGTAGGGGGTACACCCATAAGAACTTGGAAAAATCATCCAAAAATAATACATAATAACGATGTCCGCTATGACTTAGTACAGGAGATGTCCATAAATCACTATGTATTATTTCAAATGGTTTAGAAGTAGTAGATAAGGAATGAGAAAAAGGAAACTTGACATGTTTGCCCATTTGACATGAAGTACAAACAGACGCATGAAGTTTATTACAAGAAATAACATTATTCATTCTAAGAGAATTAAAAATGGGATCTCCCGGATGACCAAGGCGACTGTGCCAAAGTTCAGCGGGGATAGTTATTAAGGTAGAAGCATGAGAGGGAAAAGAGCCGGAACTTGGGCGAACGGGATAGAGGTGGCCGTAACTATTGCACCACAGTATTTGTGTCCCTGTGTGGAGATCCTTCACAGAAAAACCAAAGGGGTCAAATGCAACGGAAACGTTATTATCAGTGGTAAATTGACGGACAGAAATGAGATTTTTAATGAGGTGGGGGGCATGTAGGACATTTTGCAAGTGGAGAGGGGAGGGGGTGTTGGGCAGTGTGGTGTAGCCGTGACCCACGATGGGGACGGACATGCCGTTGCCAACCATGATACGATTATTCGTACGCAAATTAAAATAAGGAGTGAGAGTACCTGAGGAAGATGTCATGTGGGAGGTTGCCCCGGTGTCCATATACCAATTGTTGTCCGGCGGAGTGAGGGTCATGGTGTGCATGGCAACTTGTATGTCAGTTGGGGTGGTACCGGTGGTGGAGTAGTAGGCCTGTGGGCGTGGTTCAAGAATGCCGGGGGAGGGGTTAGAGGGGGGTTGTTTGTGTGGCAGTGGGTTGGAGGGGTATGGGCAGGGTGGTGCGGACCAAGGGTGAGGAGGCCAATAGGACCAAGGGTTAGGGGGGTATGGCCAGTGGCCGGGTGGTGGGGTGGGGGCCGAGTATGGAGGACGGGTGGAGCGTTGGCGGCCACCACGACCCCGAGAGCGGTTGTGCCGAGGTTCTGGGCGGGGGTGAAGAGACTGGGGACGAGGAGGGGAGTGAGGGGGGTTACGGTCCGTGTGCACCATGGCGGCAGCGAGTGGGTTACCGGCTTGTTGATTCTTACGAGCCTCTTCGAGAGACAACATGGACCGGGCCTTGGAGAAAAGCGGGAGAGGATCGGCTTGTTGGATGAGGGAAGCCACGGTGTCAAAATGTTCCGGCAGTCCGTTAACAAGGCAAAGGACAAGGCGACTATTGGTGACCGGAGCGCCGACGTTGCTTAGTTGGTCGGCCAGGAGCTTGAGGGCTTTGCAGTAGGAGGCAACGTTGGGAAATTGATCAAGACGGGTATTGGAAAACTGATTTTCCAAGTACACCGCCCTTGAGTGTTTGTTGTCCTGGAAGATGTCCGCAAGGTGTGACCAAGCCATGTGAGCCGTGGAGTCGGGCTCGATGATGGTGTGGAGAAGGTCGTGAGAAATTGTGCCGTAGATCCATTGTAGGACGACGGCATCAAGGCGGTCCCAAAGGGCCTTAGCTTCGACGGCGGCAGCTTCAAGTTCCAACCGTTGTTCGAGTGTAGTAGCGGCAGAAGGAGGGGAGTCGGTTTCAAGGGTGGCGGGCAGTAGGTGGTCGAGGACTTGATAGGCCCGGGCGGTAATACGGAAGAGTTCCGCCCATGAAGAATATTCCACGGTTTCAAGATCGAGGGTTATGGGGATGAAGTTTTTAATATTGGAGACGGCCAAGGCGGGGTGAAATTTGGAGGAGGAAGCCATGGCCGGAAGAATAGAGCTGCTGATACCAAATTGGAATGTGAAAATCCTTGCCTTCATTGAGTAAATCATCTACTATAAATACATGGAGTATCCTCCTATACTACACGGATGACTATACATGGAAATAGGCTAACATAATGCCAATGATATACTATCCATAATTACCTAAAATGAATCTAGCCACTAAATGAACCAAATACAAAATACAAGAAATATGGTAATAATATACATAACCGTTTGGTTAATAGTTTTCATCGCCTCCGCCTTCCACCATCATCGTCTTTATTTTCCTCCGAATTTCAGGTTTTTCACTTCTTCCCCTTCTCCTTCTCCTTCTCCTTATCCTCCTCCTCCTCCTCCTTCTTCTTATATACTACTTCTTCTTCTTCTTTTGATTTTGAGTTTTAACATTGATTTCTCAGATTTTACTCATATTCTTCTGTTTTTATGAGTTTTGGCATTGAATTGGCCAATTTTTGGACCTCTATTTTGTATTTCCGATTCAGATTTTTACTTTTTAAAAAACCCTTATTTGCTGGAATATCGGATGATGGCATAAGATTTTGCCAAATTTATGGCAGAAATGTGTGCACTGACAATCGATTATGGTAGAATAGATTTTGTGTAAATTGGTTTTTAATTGTTTGGTCATTAGTTGCGTATTTGTGATTTTCGATTGTAATAAAGTGTTTATTCCTTTGAAAAAATTACTTTTTGAATATTTGGTTGTTGAGTTCATATGTTTGCCAAATTTATGGCAGTTTTATGCTATTCTTCCAAGATAAATTTGCCAACTTTGTTGGCAGATTTAAGAGTTCATAGAAATGGAAGATTTAAATTGATCTTGAAAACCAAATCTGCCAACTTAATGGCAGATTTATGGCATTGGTGTTATGGAGGTGATGATGGTGTTTGGAGTTGCAGTGATGGCTTCCAAATCTAACTCTCATGGTTGTTTTGCTAACAGGCAGCGGTGACGAACAGAATGGGTGGCGGCGGCGGTGGACGATGACAACGGTGGTTAAGGCGACACCAGCGTGGGCGGCAGCGGCGGCAGCAACGATGCCGGTGAGATGGCGGTAGGCGGCAGCGGCGAGACATCGGCAAACGACACCAGTGAGACAGCGGCAGGCGACGCCAATGAGTAGGGGCAGGCTGCAGCGGCACCAAGGGTCGCGGAACTGCTCATGTTGAGAGTTTAGGTTTCATTATATTTTTAGTTTACAAATTGAATGGGGGCATTTATGTCCAAGTAGATGATTATATGTCCTATATGAAACATACGTTTGTATTTTGGTCGTATTTGTGAACATCGGCCCTCTTTTAGTCCTAAACCGATAATTAACTCGCAGCCAGGTGAATACTGAATAGAGGCATACCCCCCGCCCCACCCACCCCACCCCACCACACATGCCATACATATACACCTAATTTGGTACCTTGTACTCCCTCCGTCCCCCAATTAAGTTACCATTTTTCTTTTTGGACAGTCTCTAAATTAAGTTCAACTTCCTTATTTCCTTATTTGGCAAATTATTTACATCAAAACAGTGTTTAACAGTGCAAAACAGTGCCAAGCAGTGTCAAACAGTATTTGAACAGTGCAAAACAGTGCACTCCACAGTAAAGTCAAGTTTATTTTCTTAATACGTGTGAAGTCAAGCCGGGAACATAATTAGGGGACGGAGGGAGTATAAATTTACTTGTGATTAAAATTCAATTTAAAATTTTTCAGTTAATTGTCTGGTCGGTGCAGCCGGGGGCCTCAAGGATGAGGTGTCACCTTTTTATCCTATACATTTTTAGTCATTTTTTTAAAAACTATTATTAAAATAAAAATTATTTACACAAATATGACTAATAGTTAATAAAATGTGGTGTTGTGATAACTTAATTTTAAAAATTGAACATATGTATGTTACTATAATTGCATTACTACTTTAGTCATTAGTTACACTTTTGTAAACAATCTTTATTTTAGTCATAAATATGTAATTATTTCATTTTGGATGGCTCGCAAACTTTTGAGACGAAAAGATAAAAAATATATAGATTTTTGGGCTTTCTCATCATCGTTCAATCATTTCACAATTTCAAGTATCAACAAATTCATTTTTCAACAATTTATATTGATAACGTTTATTTAATTTGTTGTTAGAGATATACTACATTTTAGTAAAGTGGCCTTTAAGCACATACATTTTGTATGTAAAAATAGTGTACATAGTTGTATATCCCATATTCCCATGGTACATTTTTTGACGTATCCAATGCCACGTAAAACAACACAAGTTAAACTGATCGGATAGGCAATTATATTCCTTAGTTAGCTAAGAATATTGATTTGGTGATATAAACAGTTGAAATTTTCATTTAGTAACATGAGGTCCACCTTATTGAAGATCGAATATCAATCAGTAATTATATTAACCATATATACCAATGGCTTCATAATAAGCATATATAATTGCATGTTCATATTGTAACATGAGGTCCACCTTATTTATATTTTCCATATAATAAGCATATATAAAATGTACTACGTATATTTTGTACTACGTATAAGATTTCCAAAAAAATGATGACACCCCATTCCTGAGGGCCCCCAAACCCGACCGGACGGTACGTTGGGAGGAGGTAAATTGGATTATAATCCCAATCTGACAGATAGAGAGTGTGACTCTGTCCTCGGTACTTGCAGAGACTCTATGCATTTTTAGTATAGTAACCTCTTATCGCAGTTGCAGGGATTCGAACTCGAGACCTAACCCTTGTGACACTCCCTCGCTACGAGTTGTACCTATAAGATTTCCTAATGAACTACATGGAGTAAAATATTTTTTAATCTTATGATACACACAAGACAATGTCGAAATACTACCAGCTAGTCACGCCGTGTTTTGTACAATCGGGTTCGATTTGAGTTGGAGCTGGGTCCATCAATGAACTAGAGTAGTTTTTGTTAACTATTCTAGTACTTTAAGGTATTTTGATCATGGTTTGAAATGAAATATGGTTAGTAATATCTATAACTTAATTACAACAACACTTCAATGAAACGGAGTAATATGGTATACGAATCTCTATTCTAATATACACAAAGTTAATACTCGTGATGAAAACAAAATTAAAATATACTCCGTACAAAATGATAACTCTCAAAGACTCAAAGTAGAAACACTACCAAACATAAATTTTAATAAAAAATAATATGTAAAGTCATAAACACTATCAATTGTAAACATTGATACTCATATTGGTCAAAGTTGATTGTCATTGATCAAGAAAAGTCAATTTGACGAATTTTTCGGGACGGTGGGGAGTATCTATTAACAATGAATCCAATTAACTAAGACGCCCCTATATTACAATTGAAAGCAAAACCACCCAAATGAAGTAACGCTAAAAATAATTTAGTGAGATTGTGAGAAACACGAAGGAAATTGCATTGGTATAATGGTATTATTATTATTATCATAATTATTGCCATGTGTGATCTTGAATGTTGATGACTGTCCCATTTTAATGAGGAGAGGAAGCTGAGGAATGTCGCACAATTTAGCCAGACCCCTCGACAATGCTTGAAAATTTAGAAGCTAATTGGGTAATAGGATACAAAATAAGAATTATTGTTGTACTAAACAACTCTTCCTGATAATAAACATTCCTATGTTCTTGATTGAAGCTCCATTTTACATATTCTATTTTCCCCACGCACTTTGTCAATTTTGATGTGTTCTAAGATGTACTCCATACTATATATGTATTTTAAAATAATTAGTAAAACTTGGAAATACTATTATAAGAGGTTAAACCGATAGTTGTGGATGCTGAGTCAATAAAATAGGACATGGGACCGAATCTAGTCCGACAAACAGGGTACCTAGTCCCGTGCGGGTTTATAATATTGGGACCGAACTGGTAGGTGTCGATCCCGATTTCGGTCCTTAGGGTGTTAAGATCTGGGGTTCCATTCTAAAAGGTCAACCTGATAGGAGAGTTCCAAGTTAAGATCTGGGGTCTTAGTATAGCACTTTGTTGATTCAAACTTTTCCAGTGTGAGATTCTAACACCCCTCCTCACGACCAGACACTTCGTCTGGATCGTGTCGTCAGTCATTTTTTCGTCGGTATGTCATTGTCATTTTTTTTATAATTGTGTCATCATTTTTCATGAGGGCCCCACACCATGGATCGATTTGGCTCTGATACCATGTTAAGATCTGGGGTTCCATCCTAAAAGGTCAACCTGATAGGAGGAATAGTCCATGTCTTAATATAGCACATTATTGATTCAAAGTTTTTCAGTGTGGGATTCTAACATAGGGTGATCTTTTTGGGGTTTTTCACAAGAATATTACTAAAATAAAACATCTTTGCATAAATATGACTATTCATTACTACAATGCGGTGTTGTGGTAACTTAAGCTCAAAACTTGAACATGAATTACTATGATTTCATTACTACTCTAGTCATTAATCATATTTTTGTAAATCATCTTTATTTTGGTCATATTTATGTAATTATTTCATCTTTTTGGGGGTTGGTATCAGGTTTGGACAGCCCAAAATAGCCATTGGAATGGCTATTAGAGCCGTTGTGGAGGGTTTGGGGGGGGGGGTAGGGAGGGTGGGGGTAGGCCTGTCAATGGGTCGGGTCCAGACCCAAACCCGACCCGGATCCGTTTTTTTAACGGGTATGGGTCTACATTTAATTTTGTTACCCGGATCCGGATCCGGACCCGTTATTTAATGGGTCGGGTATGGTATATGTAGTTCCGACCCGTTTGGGACCCGACCCGTTAATATTTATTTACATATATACATTAGTCAAATATACATATTACATTAGTTGCCGCCCACATTACGATTTAGTTTAATAAATCCGAAGAAGGATCCCTAGAGACCCTCAGACCGCAGAGGATTCAAGAAAAAGCTTGTTCAGTTTCCAAAGCCATTTATTTTACTCTTTATTCTAACATTACGTATCTTGCAAATTACAAACCAACTCACAATTGTTGTGTTTGATTGAGTAATTATAGACAAGTAA